TCAAAAATAAGTAAGCTACAGAGACCAGACTGATTTTATCAAGAAAGAACAGATTGACAATACTAAGGTTTTGAGAACATCTTGTAAAATCCAGTCGTGTTCACTGGGACAAAATGTAGAGCCTGGTATTAGAGCTTTCTCGTTTCCTCTTTCATTTATTAAGTTATGATTCCGTGTATGCACAGTACCTGGGTTTGTGTCAGTTGTGTGGACTCTAAGCAGCTTTGTAAATTTCAAGCCTGCATTATGCATGTTTTAATGAAGAGTGAACTGTGAGTCCCGAGGAAGCCTGTGGTTTGGTTGTGCCACCCGTCCAGATGTGCCGCTGGCTCGACATCATATATATCATGTAGAACACTGGCTGGTGTCTTTCCAACGGCATCTTGTTAAAGAATCAAAATCTACAGTGAGGGGAACATTTAAAATGAGTAGATTTAGGACTGTGGTTAATTGTGCAAAATAGCTGAAAATGGAAACGAAACCAGGAGTCTTGCTGACAACGTGAGCGCGGTGCTGCTCCGCTCGGCTGCCGTCTCCGAAGCTGCCTGTGCGTGCCACGCTTCCACCTTCTGTTGCTTGTCGGAGTGCCAACTTCTCTCCCAAAGGTGTTCAGTGACTAATGCTTTGGTTCCAAGCCAGAATATTTTATAAACATCTATTTCTAAGCAGCTCTTGTACAAGTCTTAATTAAACTTTAATGTCAAGCTGAAGTTTACTTTTAGAGAACCTTGAAAGTCCCTTCGGTCGTAACATGAGGATAGAACAGTAGAGAGAAGGCAGCACGGCTCTCTTCTCACCATTTAATATGCACTGCCAAGAAGATGCATGCTGGCAAAGCCCACGGGCTCACAACATGGGCAAACCGTACCACCTCCTAAGTGCTGGGATAGCCCATGAGCACCCAGTCAAACATCTCTAGGATAAAATGATAGCCAGGGCCTAGAATGACTATTTTGTTTCTTATTACATGTTCTTTGTGCCTTTTCTCAAATCCAAGGCTCAGAAAGGAGAATTAGTTCGCATGAGGTGTCCCTTGTTTTTTTCTCTTCTTTTCTACAGGGTACTATAGGGGTGGTTAAAACTAGGGGACTGGATTATTTTCTCTGTTTCTACATGGGGATTCTAAGGGAGAAATCCTATAGCCTCTGCCAGCTGAAATAAAGAAGCCTCTGTTGAACTCAGAATGAACTCAAGCATGTTGATGCATGCCTGTAGTCATAGTACTCGGGAGCATGGATGGGATCATAAGTTCAAGGCCAGCCTGGTCTACCTATAGTATGAATCAATTCTACAACAAAAAGAATACAATCTAAAACAAAAATAACAGCAAAAATAATGGGCTTTAGTTAAGTATAGTTATATCACATTTCTTGTTCGATTTGAAATTATTTTCATCAGTCAAATAGGCTTTATAGCAGGGGCCAGCCTAATCTTTCTTATAAAGAGAAAGCAATATTTAAAATTTCGAGGGCCAATGTACACAGTTTCAGTTGCTCATCTGTGCCCTTGTAGTGCAAAAGTGAGAATGGCTGGACTCTATAAAACTTTATGAAAACAAAGGAATGACTTTTAACCTTAGGCAGGAGTTTCCAGTTACCTGCTCTATTGACCTGCTTGCTTTTTATGTAGCAATCATTTAGTACAGCTTTATTTTTTCTAGGTAAAAATAGTTTCCTATAGTATTTATTGTTACATAAATTTATTTTGTTAGTATAACTTATTTGAGCTCCCCAAACCAACATTCAGAGATTTGTAAGGAATTAATCTTATATTTTAAAAACAAAGTTCAGATAAACAGAAGTACAGGGAGGGGAGGGGAGGAGGGATGGAAAGAGACCATACACAGCAAAGCTACATGTATGTATGTGTTCAGCATGAGACTGTTATAGCTTTACATTGAAAGCTGCTGGAGCCCCGATGATCACTGAGTGAGAAAATAAGAAGAGGAACAACTCCTGGGGTGGAGCACGGACATTTGCAAACACTGGTTTAAGCTCATTTTCTTGATCAAATTTTGAGTAAAAGAAACAGCACTCAAAATCACAGCTACAGGGAAGGATTACACACTCTCTAATCCAGTTTCTATGAACTATAAAACTGGGCAAAACTAGAGCATTAGATTTTGAAAGTTAATGGTCTGGGCAGTCACTGGGAGGGAGGCTACAGGTGTGTGTGTGTGTGTGTGTGTGTGTGTGTGTGTGTGTGTGTGTGTGTGTGTGTGTGTGTGTATTCCCATGTGGACATTATCTTTTCTTGGGTTGGGTGCCAGCTTCATACCTGCATTCATTTTTATGTTACGTGACATATGTGGCACAGTTAATGAGTCACACCTTAGGATGTTTGCTACCTTCTACACCAAGAGCTTGGATAGGAGAAAGTAGCGAATAAAGGGGGCAGAATTTTTACGCAGTAAATAAGTGGTCCAGTTTCTTAGAAATATGCTGTTGGGGTTTTAAGTGTTGGAGAAAAGGGTTCTAAACCACAACTTTGCTTATCCACTCCGAGCTTCAGAAGACTTCATAATTTTGGAAAGTAGTTTGTCCTTTCCAGTATTGATTTTGCCTTGATTGCGTTGTGTCATTAATCTGGTTATTTTCAGGAGCTACATCACTACTAACATATTGGATGTGGACTAGAGTGGAGATCACATGACTTCATAGTGTTGGACATTAAGTTTTTTTTTTTTTTTTTTTTTTGGTTTTTCGAGACAGGGTTTCTCTGTGTAGCTTTGCGCCTTTCCTGGAACTACTTGGTAGCCCAGGCTGGCCTCGAACTCACAGAGATCCGCCTGCCTCTGCCTCCCGAGTGCTGGGATTAAAGGCGTGCGCCACCACCGCCCGGCTGGACATTAATTTTTTTAGTGAGACATTTGAAATGTTTGTATCATTTTAGAATAGACAAACATACTATCTAGCTACAATTTCACAGCATATATATAAAAGATTCCATAAGCCATTAAAAGTGAATAGATCCATACCTAATACATTTTTTTTTGCTTTTTATTTGTCTCTTGACTGTAACTCAGTCCTTTTCATCTGATACTAATTTTTTTTAACACAGTGACTAATTTCTATGCTCAGATAACCATGCTCCAGCTTCTCACTTCCGTGAAAGTTTAGATCAGTGCTGAGAGAAACTGACTTGACATTGTAAAATATGCTTCTCCGTGTTTCCTGGGTGTTACTGCTGTTCAAGCTGACCCCCAGGGGCAAGGACTAACTAAGTTGGCACATAAAAGGGAGGGAATACTCAAGGTGGAGGGAACTTGGAGGAAGTCAGAAAGCATCTTGTGTTTAGGCTGCAGTCTGTGGGTGGATGCAGCTAATACAAAGGAATGCCCTGTGCAGTGGAAAGTGAGGCAAAAGCCAGTCCTCAGGAGCCCCAGGGTCCTACTGAGAAGTGGGGTTGCTTCCCTCTCTCAGAGTCACTGGCAGCACTTGCCCTGCTGTGGGCATTGCCTAGTCGGCACCGTTGGCATGATAGCAGAGGAGAGGACGAATGTGAAATCGAAATAGGAGGTATAATCTACATCGACTCTAAAATGGTCAGACTTTGTTATCAAAAAGATCAAGACCTGGTCATTCACGAGTTATTTCCATGTATTTCTAATAGTTGTTTTTGTTGTTGTTGTTTGTTTGTTTTTTGTTTTTTGTTTTTTCGAGGCAGGGTTTCTCTGTGTAGCTTTGCGCCTTTCCTGGAACTCGATTTGTAGACCAGGCTAGCCTCGAACTCACAGAGATCTGCCTGCCTCTGCCTCCCAAGTGCTGGGATTATAGGTGTGCACCACCACCGCCCGGCCCCATGTATTTCTAATAGTTGTTTATGGTTATTTGGAAATACGTCCTTTGTCTTTGCCTGTGAAGTGCGGAAATGCATTTTAACAATATGCTTTGTTAGAAAGCATAGTGGCTAACTTACTACACGTGGCTTCCAGTTTTACTAGATGATTCATCCATCTCCAAGTATTACTTTAAATCAGAGATCTTAAATCTGTTCTTAAGTATCTTTTTATGCCTCTTGGTTAGACTGTCTCCACCCAGTTGGTATGGCATACATCGTTCTCCAGTTTGAATTAATTAATCCGTTTTTTTTAATTTTGAAATTACTTGATTGCTATGGGGAAAAGTTTAGAAAATCATAACATACTGCAATTGAAAGTTGTGAGGATTTTTTATTTATTTTTATTTTTATTTTCTTGCCTGGAAAAGGTAGACATTGTGCTCTGCAGAAATGAGCAATTGGCTCAAGGGTTTAGAATGTTCTAGTTCTGTAGCCTTTCATTTTGCTCAAAGTTCTGCATACTTGAAACATTTTAGGGATTTCATGGAGTGCTCTTGATCCAAACCTTCACCGAGTAGTCAGTTTATCATTATTGCAGATTGGACTGCCAAGGCCTAGCAGAGCTAACTGAAACCTTACCTCCAAAAGCTGGGGACTTTCCTAAGGCCTGTCCCCACATGTCTAGATCTCCAGTGACCTTTGTTTTTCAGTTCACAGGACACTGATTCATTTCTGTGATTAGCTTTGTCAGAGGCAACCAATTAACTGTGTCAGAAAGGTAGTCTCCTTAGTGGATCTCTGTACCACCCACCTGTAGGCCAGAGCAGTCCTATGCGTTACTCCTGCCCATTACATTTTCTCATTCACCCTGTTCCTCAGTTTCCCCTCTTCTAATCTTTGGCTTGGGTAGAAGCTAGTTCAATCAATGTCTTTTCAAAGATTAAATAAAAACTTTACAAAATAATGGGTAAAAGGTAAGTTAAACAAAAGGGCATTAAAACAAAAGAATATGTTATAATAACTAATTAAAAATCAAACAAATAATAGTATCAAACTTTTCTTTGGGAGCAGCTGGTTGAACATATCTGAAATGAGAGATAAAAATTTTAAATTTGTCTGTATGAGATGGTTTGTGGTTGTTTTTCTAAGTTAATAGTTTATATTCATGAATATTTTATATATGGAGAAAGAATTTTTTACTTCAGTTACTTAATTTCTAGGCCATATGAAAATAAAACCTATCTTGCTGTTGGGAGCATGAAGACCATAATGCTAAATGTGTCTGTGTTCAATGCTGGAGATGATGCTTATGAAACAACCCTGAACATCCAACTCCCCACAGGCCTATATTTCATTAAAATCTTAGAACTGGTAAGTGCTAGAAACCACAATAGTAGAATGTACTCAAGTTTCAAACAAACATTAAGGGCCATATTTACTCCACTGATTTAGTATAAACAACTGAAGTTTTCAGCATAAGGTTTCAACATCACTGAGTTATTTTGAGACATTCTTTTTTCCCTAACTCTGAGACACAAGTTCCTTGGGGCCTAAGTGGAAAGATGTTAGCTTTCTTCTTTCTCCTGGGGTGCCACTACTTCATCCCTGACACATGTTTTTAAGATGCTGACAATGCTCATCTGGAAGCATCCTCCATGCTAATGAACCCAGGATTCCTGCTCTATGTTTTAAGTTGAGGCTCTCAACCTTCATCCAGTACTTCTGAACTATCAGCCTTCCTCAGTCCTGAAATCCTCTTTTCAAGTCAGGTCCTGGATTACACACATAGATGTATGTTACCACAGCACTCCAATTATTGTCACTTTAGTCCATCAGTGAAGTATTAGTAAGGTTGAGTTGCAAAGAGAAAAGCCTCCGGCACATTTGCCTTGCTATCTCCACATCCTCTTGCCAGTCAGCCCCAGGGACCTTTCACCTTTTAAAAGGAGCCATTTACACTTTCTCCACATCACTGAGCAGCTACTTCAAAAGGAACAGGAGAAATTCTAGGTACTCAGAGCCTATCCTTTGATATATTTCTATCAGGATTACCATACTACAATTAAAGGCTTTAAACAGATTTCATTTATATCACACAGAGGAAATACAGACCTTGTGGTTTTCTTGTTCCCTAATATTTCAAGAATTTCCTCCTAGATAAAGTGGGAAACAGGAGCGCTCACACCCAGGAGCTGTTTATAGAGAATTACATGGGTATTAGTATATGCATATTGCTTATGTATACACATCTGTATCTTCTATTATAATTCTACATATTATTCCCAAGCTAAGCAGAAAATTGTTTCCTAAGACAACATTTTTAAAAGCCATCCCTAAACATATGTTATGAATGTCTAACTCTCTTTCTCCCCCGATTAATTGTTTTATTTTTTCCTTTAGGAAGAGAAACAAATAAACTGTGAGGTGAAAGAGAGCTCTGGCATGGTGAAACTTGCCTGCAGCCTTGGCTACATATATGTGGATCGTCTCTCAAGAGTAAGCGTTTAGTGTTTGTGATTTTCACTTGCCAATAGGAATGTGTTTTTCTACCTTCTCCTACCTTTGTGTTGAATTAAAAATCTATTTTTGAACTTAGTTGTGAAGCTAAGTGAGACCAAAGTGTCCTGACGTGTTTGGGCCTTGTGTTCATATTCTTAGCAACGTTCATTGTTTGGGGTCGGGGGTGGGGGTGAGCAGGGAACCGGTTATGTCAAGACAGGCAAGTAAATGTGTCAATCAGAATGTTTGCCTGTTCGCTCTTTTCCAACACCCCCACCCCCATCCCAGGTGGCCCTGTCTGCCAGGCATGTTACCTCTGCTATACAAAAAAGGTGTTTTTGGCAACAGTCCTCAACCAAGTTGTTAAAGCGTTCCTAATGGTGTCCGTCTGGGCCTGCCAGTCTTTGCATCCAGAGAAGGCTTTGTTTCTGAAAGTGATGCATGGAAATGCTTGCGCTTTGAACCCAACAGTTTCTGTGTCTTGCTACCGAGTGAAGGGTGGAGCTTCTGCCACATCTAGAGTAGTCCACTCTCTTTTCCTTGAGCAACAACAAAAATCTCTTAAGGACAATGAAAATATTTCAATCCATAAAAATGCATTTTTGATTAAAAGATGGGTCTTTTCCTCTGCTTTGCAGGTAGATATTAGCTTTCTCCTGGATGTGAGCTCACTCAGCCGGGCAGATGAGGACCTCAGCATCATTGTACAGGCCTCCTGGTATGGTTCAGTGTGTAAGAAATAACTGTCATAAAGGACATGCCACATTCTGGAGATGGCTTTCAGGGATCCATGAAGCCGTGCTCTGATAATTGTCTATAAGCAGCAACAGTGGAAATGAAGAGAGCAGTTTCTACCAACCCTGTCGGGAAATGTCCTGTTGCTGTTTCTCTTTCTAGTCCTACCTCCCCCAATGTTACCAGACAGCCCTCTATTAAGTCTGCACGGTATGCAGGTCATGCTCTCTGAGGCTGGGTTCTCACATGGTCTTCTGTTTCTACAGTGAAAATGAAGAAGAAATGGACAAGGTGAAGGATAACAAAGTGACATTATCGATACCTCTAAGGTATGAAGTTATGCTGACTGTTCACGGGTAAGTAGAGACAGACGCCTCTGGATTAGAGAGGACTTTCACTCCTGCTTTTTTTCTTATATTAGTGAAGGAAGTGTGTTTGAGCATGTGTAAGTGGAAAAGATACTGTGTCTCTGTGATTGCCTCCGAGTGCAGTTGCTTGATTGGCGATTCATTATTTTAATCCACTCTCTAATCAGCTCTGATGCTACATCAAACTCGTGGCCAGCTGCTAGAGATTTTGTACTGGAAGAGCCCCAATAAGCTTTCAGTGGGCCATGGTCATCCTGCAGTTTGCAAACAAGGGGCGCAGAGTTGTGTAGTATGCAGCTTCCGGCGCGGCACCCGGTGGCCATGGTAGGGGAGACACAAAGAACTGTGCACTTAGCCAAACTGCAGCTCTCCAGAGCCCACATCTACCTGTGTGGCAAATGACTAAGGCGTGAGAGAGCAGGCTGTGAGGTGTGTCCTGTCTATTCTTGAACCCCGAGAGTGCTCCTCAGTCAGAACCCTGGGGCCAGCTTTATTGTTTTCTTGTGGTTTTAGTGATTTCTGAGTGGATCCTTCTCTGATTCAAAATGTGTGGCTAGAGAATGAATAAGGGGAATACCAAAACCTGCAATGACTCCACTGGCAGTTTTTCAAGCTATTAGTCTGTGTCTTAAACATTTTTGTTGTTTTTGAAGCAAGAGTTTCTCTCTGTGTGGTCTGGACTGGACTGCAACTTGTATAGTCAGAAGGATATTCTTTTGGTTTTGGTGATCATCCTGGCTCTGCATCCTGAATGTTAACTCTATACACATGTACCAGCATGCCCAGTAATCACTACACTACAAACATTTAACTCTTTGAGTATTTCATGCAATGTATGTCGATTATATTCATCCATCAACTGCTCCCCCTAACTCCACCCAGATCCACTCTACCTTCCTAAACAGAATTTATGTCATAAAAAAAAAAAACCAACTCCAATTTATGTTGCCCTTGTATTCCTGAGTGTGGGGCCATTCACTGAAATGTGGTCAACCTACCTGCAGCACATGCATTAAAGAATACTGACTCTCCCTCCCCAGAAAGCCTTAGCTGTCCACAGCTTTTGAGTTAGGGATGAGGATTCATGGGCCACTTCCCTCTTCGTGCTAGGTGCATACATACATTTTAAAAACACTAGAAGATATGAATTAACAGAATAAAATGGGCAAATGCATTTTATTTACTGCTTTAAATATAACACATCCCTCCATCATTTTAAACATGCATGAAGAAGGCATCCAACTGAGTAAAAGGTCGTTTTCTGTAACTGATGGAATTGAGTATCAGTTGTATAAAGGAGGGAGGGAGTGGTCCTTCTCAGAAAACCAGGCCCTGAGAGTCAGTGGTAAAGCAAATCAAAGCTGATTCATGTCTCCTAGCAGGGAGTATGCACACTTCTCAATTTTTCACAAGATGAGCACTTCCATTTCCACTTTTCACATGTTAGTATTTGGGACAAAGATAACAAGTATTAAACTGCACAAGTATGTGTTGCTGGATTATTTCTAATACCTTTCCTAATTTCGAACCACCTATTATTAGCAGCTACATATGAGTAACTTGTGCAGTAGGGACTTCCCCAGAACGGCACCTTCTCAGTGCTTGTTGCTCAGCATCCATTTGTCTAATGGCGGGATTCAAAAGTCAAAAATCTTGCATCCTAGCAAAAGCTTTGTCTTATAAGTTGGTGCTTGGCTTGTTCCCAGAAATTTGAGGTTCAGCAGCAGCAGCCATCAAGAAATAATAAACAGGTTAGATGGAGCTACCACACCCCCGAGGGAAAGTTAAGGCTTTGGCTCAGGCTTGCCAACTTTGCATGAATCATTTTAGGGCTGAAAAAAGTGCAGATGGCTCAAGCCAGCAGGTGTGGGAAAGGCAAGTATGTATATTGGTTAGAATAGGCATGCCCCACCACCATCACCACCCCGGGGCGGGGGCAGAGCACACGACCTTCCTGTTTCATCAATTAGAGCTTGTATCTGACCAAGGAACCAAAAGGATGTTGTGTTGCCTTTTAAACATGCTATATTCCAATTCTAAAGACAGACTGTGCAGACCCTCATCAAAAAGATAGTACATTCAAGCCGACCTTATTTCTGGCAGGTTTGTGAACCCAACCTCATTTGTGTATGGATCAAGTGAAGAGAATGAGCCAGAAACATGCCTGGCAGAGAAGCTGAACTTCACTTTCCACGTAAGCAAAGCTGGTTTTGTTGATGTTTGCAACATATGGGAAGGGAGAAAGGATTGGTCTTGATGCCTTGCTCCAGGGGGATTCCTGTCCCCACAGTGTCCCGCAGCCTTAGTGACTGGCTGGCTGCCCTTTCCTCTGAGGCTACTGTTGTTTTTCTCATTTTTCTTGTCCCAGATTTTCTAAGATATGTGAACACTTGGAACAGGCAGAGTTTGGGGATCTCTTGACCCTTCTGAAGATGCATTCAAGGCAGACAAGTCAAGGGAAAACATGGTTGGGGGTAAATCAGGAAATCTAGAGTTGGTTGAGGCTCCTTAACCAGCCCAACATTACCACGTATGTAATGGAAGCATTTACCTTACCTTTCTCCAGGATCAACGTGATTGGTCTGTCATCCAGGCAGGCTTCAGGATTAGGACAAGCTTCATCAGTATTGAATAACCTTTCTTTTTCTTTTTAGTTCAAAAAATACTATCATATAGAAATATTAATATACTAATAAAAACTCATTTTTTGAAAATTTAGCTATTAAGCAAAAATTTTGGTTGGTCACAGGTGTTAAGAGGGAATGTCTACAAAAGTGTTTGTTTTAGTCAAAAGCACTGTTCAAGCATTGTTTGAGTAGTATAGCACTGTGTAGAACACAAATCTTGGATTACATAATGAAACTGGGCCAGAGAAAGGAAAAGCAGGCATATGTTGGAGGGGCTATTTGAACTGGTTAAACTGGAAAAAATATGACTATGGATAGTGTGCCTGCTTTGTCGTGTATCTGCCAGCTATACATCCTCCATTTCGGCTAGTACTTCTGCATTTATAATTATGAAAAGGATTTTTAAATTCTTTTCTTTCTTTTTCAGGTTATAAACACTGGCATTAGCATGGCTCCAAATGTTAGTGTGGAAATAATGGTACCCAATTCTTTTCTCCCTCAAACTGATAAGCTCTTCAACATTTTAGATGTCCAGGTAAAAAGGTGACCCCTTTGTCTGACCTATGTTAAGTGTCTTAAGTACCAACCCCCTTTATCCTGAGGATGGTTGTGAAGATGGAGATTCCCATTCACCTCAGTCCCCCTCAATACTGTGAGCTCCATATGCATTCACTGAGAGAACCTTGAATATAATACATTTCTTCAGGACTGTAGCCAGAGGCAGCACCCGCATTCTCATACACAATCAGAAAACCTGCTTCTTCATTCTTTATTAATTGTCTTATATTACTTTCTTTGGGACATGAACCTGTGGAGATATAGTTAGTAGAATGCTGCACAAGCATGAAGCCACTATGGCAAGGACAGGAAGGGAAGCCCCCTCTAAGGAAACATTTGAATCAGTTCTCATGCCGATGTTCTCATGTTCGTGAGATTTCTTTTTACCTCCGAGTCTCAATCAATAGCAATCACCAGAAAAGCCTACGTCAGGGAGTTTGAAATCTTGTTTTGAAAATTTACTTGAATTCCAGATTTAGGTGTTAGGATCTGTAGTTTTATCATATTTTGTTCTGTGAAACCAGATGAGGCTAATGTTCACTTGCCATTTTTCTTCCCCATTTCAGTAAAGACAGACCATGTTGTTAACCTACGACCTGTTGTAATTTGGTTAGGATTTTGTTTGTGGACTTACCAGAGATTTACTCTTTCACAAATAATTCTGTCAAAAATACTTTCACAGTTTTGGAGGTGCTTACTGTATTTTAGTAAAAGCAATCAATCAAAACTTTTAAAGTCAGGTTGTGTGAGCTCTCTCCAAAGACAGGTGATTTTTTTTTTTCTGTCTTTAGGCGACTACTGGGCAATGCCATTTTAAACACTATGGAAGAGAGTGTGCATCCGGACAGCAAAATGGTGTAGCGGAGACCTTGACAGACATACTCAAATTCTTCTCAAAGACTGATAAGAGACTCTTGGTAAGTTTCCATCCTTCAGATAGGCATTTCAAACTAAAACATTTAAAAGCAAATTCAATGGTGGCTTGAGCTGCCAGGAAATGGTAAGGGATACAAGCCTAGGCGATATTCCCACGGGTAAAGAACAGGCATGACGCAGTGCTGAGATGGGTCTGGGGTTAAATGTGTGTTACGGGGTTTCATTGCTTAACAAATGCCTCCCATGTGCCACCCAGACATTGTACAGAACCCTCCTGACACCAAGTCACCCGGGCAGCCATATTTATAGCACGAGATTCTCACTCTTTCCATTTTGGTGACTTTATAAGAGAAACTGGAGAGGTTGTGCAGCAAGAAACAGAGCGTGTAACTGGGGGAGACTCTAATTACAAATCTTACTTTTCATCTTGTCCCAGAAGGTTCAGTTACTAAGAATGATAGAAACACATGTTACACTTTGAATACTTTGTTATAATTTAGGAGACAAAAAAAAATGCTTGTTTTATTTAAAGCAAGAAGAGTTTTAAGTGCTATGAAGGAAAGATGATGTTTATAAAAAGGACAGTTTTCTCAACGCCATTAAGGATATTTAAAAACACTTTATCGTATTCAGTTCTGTGACTGCATATAGGAAAGAATGTCATGTGTGCCTGTGGGAGGCAGAGGACAACTTGCAGGAAACAGTTCTCTTCTACCATCCTGTAGGTTCTGGGGATTTGAACTTAGGTCTTCAGGTTTGGCAGCAAGTACTTTAACCTGCTGCTGAGTCATCTTGCTGGCACAGTAAGGAGATTTTTAATTTATATAAAGTATGTTTTGAAATTTAAAATTCATATTTAATTTTTTTTTGAGAAAATACAGGCGTGTTGCAGTGCATGCATGGTGTTCAAAAAGCAACCTCAGGGGTCGGCCCTTCCCTTATACCATGCTTGAAGCTAGCTGCCCCTTGAAAGGTCTCTCCTCTCCACCTCCTATCTTGTGGTCAAAGCAGTGGGATTATAGGCACAGGCAATCTCCCTCCAGTTTTTCACAGGATCGGGGCATTCAAACTCTTATTTATCCTCATGCTTATTGGCAGGCGTTCTATCTACTGAAGCCGTCTTCTCCAGCTGTTAATTTTTTAAATGTAGAAAATTTTAATGCAGTGTTTTTACATTCTCTTCAAGTATTGCATGAAAGTCGATCTACACTGTTTAGATTTCTTATGCAATTTTGGGAAAATGGAAAGTGGGAAAGAAGCCAGCGTTCACATCCAGCTGGAAGGTCGGCCATCCCTCTTGGAAATGGTGAGTCTAACATCAGATAACTTTGTGACATAGATCTACAAACTGGGTCATGTTTACATAGACAGGATAGTATGGCAACATTCAACAAATACAGAGAGGAGAATATAATTCGAGAATAAAGCCCAAATCTCATTTTCATTGCATCAACTGACAGAGATGAACTGTGGAGTTGTTTGGTTTGGTTTAGAAAGCATGCTACTCTCTAGGAACCTTAAGTAAACAGAGAAACTTGACTCCCTTTCAGTCACATAGCCTTAAATCATCCTTTAAAATATAACGTTGGAATCCTAAAACCAAGAAGTAAAATTAAAATTTGATTTCAAAGAAGAGCAAACTAAAACATCAAAATCTATCAACTGAACCTGTGTGTGGTGGCTCAAGTCTACAATTCCAGCACTCCAGAGATGGAGAAATACCACTTCCAACAAATTGTTATCTCTCTCCATATGTGCATAAAGGCAAAGAAATGGTATTATTTATTTTTAAAATTATATCTAAATACTGTATTCTTACTCACCCCTACAAATGTACAAATGAATGTATTTTTAAATATTCATGGAATCTGTAAAGCCCTTTCACAGATCTCCAAGCTTTATGGATTCTGTTACAAACTCCCTACTTGAAATACTAAAGCTCAGAATTCACCCACAGATGATCATACAATTAGATTTTATTATCATTAGCACAAGCTGTTATCACCAAGACACTAAGTAGGATGAGTGTATTTCATTCAGAAACAAGTGAAAGACAAACCTGAGGGAATGCTTACCAGGTCAAGAACACTTGTTTGTGGATAAAATTTAATATTACTGAGAAAAATTATATTGCTCATCAATAACTTATTGTATACAATAACCTGGCAAAAAATATTTAAATCAAGTGATTTGCAACATGGCCACATTGAGTAAAAGGGGTTCCATGAAATAGTTGGTCATACCTTTGAGCCCAAAGGAAGTCATTATAGTTCAGTAAGTTACAGAAATTCTAGATAGCAAAGGTGGTATTTATATTGACATGTCTTCATGAAATAAACTACAAATCAAACTCTGTTGATTATTTCTTTTCAAAACAGGATGAGACTTCATCACTCAAGTTTGAAATAAAAGCAACAGCGTTTCCAGAGCCACACCCAAAAGTCATTGAGCTAAATAAGGATGAGAACATTGCCCATGTAAGATTGCCCTCTTAGGTGCTGTGTGAAAACAGTTTGAGGGTATTTGTAAGTAATGCCTTTTGGCACTACTCCAAGTCAGGAGTCAGTGTGTGACCAGGTCATAGAGGACTTTCAAGCCCTTACCCACTTTCCACAACTGATGGGAAGTTCACAGAGAGCAGTTTGGTAGCAGTGAGAATGGGGGGATGAGAGGAAGAGCCATGGAGCCCATTCTGCTCACTGTTTCTGCTTCTTTGGGCTGAGACTGGGAACGGGACAGGGTGGGGAGCTCTGGTCTCTGTAGGCTCCTGGGAGGCTTTCAAGGGAAACACCAACACTGCTGTTTCTGAGTGTGTGTTTGCTCTGCTTGCACAGGTTCTCTTGGAAGGGCTCCATCACCAAAGACCCAAACGGCATTTCACCATCGTGATCATTACCAGCAGCTTGCTGCTTGGACTTATTGTACTTTTACTAATTTCATGTGTTATGTGGAAGGTAATCCTTTAACAATTATTAATTTCTTGTCTTTTATGGACAGTCTACCTTTAATAATTACCAATAGTTAAACTACTCAGAATGTCTTTATTGTCCCTAACTGAATGTCTCATACTGATTTAAGAGTTATTCTAATTTCAAGAGTCCATTTGGAAAAATGCATATAATGTTGAATATCAATTTGTGGTGGAGTGTGTATATATTACTGCCAAGTCCAGAGTTAACCCAGCATGCTCCATGCTGACCATCTTTACACTCTCTTCACAGCTCATGTAGCCTGGGACATAGTTTTAAAAGTATTCTACACTGATTAGATATTTGATGTGCATATTATTGGTTCAGAACTATATGCGTGTTATCTAATCTGTTTTCAGGCTGGGTTCTTTAAAAGGCAGTACAAATCTATTCTACAAGAAGAAAACAGGAGAGACAGCTGGAGTTATGTCAACAGCAAAAACAACGATGACTGAAGACTTTTAAATTAAGAGAACTGAACAAAGACTCAGGTAGGTTAGGGAAAGATCCTGTTCATAAGACCCAGGATAATTTCTCTTTTACCATGTACTTGTGACATACTATGTCTTAATGCAGGGAATAAATATCTCCAAGAAAGAAAATACAGAAAGGTTGCTTTCCAGCAGTCAAATGGATCAGCAGAGAAAAACACTAAAGCTCTTGACTTACTCAAGAGAAGTGAACTTCTGAAGATGACTTGAAAGAAACTCCAGATTAAGCCAGATGGACTTAAAAGGAATAGTCTTTCAAGGAGATATTGACTCCACGTGCCCACGTCAGTGAAATAAATGCTACAGAATGGGCACTTGTTGGTTTCAAATACACCTTTGAGACATTTTCGAAGTATGATGATGATCTTTGAAGCCATTTAGAGTTTTTCAAAAAGCTGGTTCCAGATTTTCTAATGGATACATCATTTTACAACAGTGGATTTGAAGATTTTCATTGGTGGCACATCATCATTGGGCTGTGTCCCTATGGCCCTTTTATTCAGCAGATACAAATTTTTAATGCCTGGTGAACAATATCCATGCAGAGCAGGATGGATTCTGGACAAGTGTGGCTCCTGGACAAGCGGCCCTCTCTGGACTTGTTTTTGCATGTATATACACTTTTCTAAAAGAGACAATTATCACTCTACTTTTTTCTTTTATCAGGAGTGCCCAGGAATATTTTTTTCAAAATTTTATTTGTAAAACCAATTCTTAAGAATTTTATCCTCATAACAGATTATAAATATTGCACTTTAGCCTTTACATGCTGATACAATATGAACTCACTGGTGATTTAAAACTGTGCAAAGAAAGATTAGGGAACCAATATTTCATACAACATTCACTATTTCAAATTAAGCAAACATGAATATCTACTAGGATGCTTTTGTTTTTCTTTTTCTGGTTAAATATATATATTAACCAGGACTGTAAAAAAAACAACAGTGTTATACATATGGAGAAACAAGTTCATAGACTGAACTGCAAGTCATCAATGAAGCTTGTATGCAGTAACATAATAAATGTGACATCAAATTTCCATGAGATAGTATGTTTGATGTTAAACAAGGTTCTGTTTTAAAGGGAAATATCTTCTACTTGGGTTTTACATAATCATTTTTTGTACTATTTATTTCATATATGTGATTTGACAAATATACATTTTCATCTGGATATTATGTGTAAGAAAGCTATGGCCAGATTTTGAACATGTGTTGGATAAAAGGGCAGCCTTCACTGTTAAGAAGAAAGATTGCTTTACAGGAAATCTCTGCTGCCAGCTGGCCCTTCCTCAGATTTCCTGATTTCATGAGAGTTGCCTGTTCACTGCGCCTGGAGAACCAGGGTGTGCTGGGCTTTGGAAGAGATTTTCTCAGCGAGGAAACTTGAGTAAAAGAGTGCAAGGATCAACTCTGTGTGCACAGACAAATATTTAATTAAGTGTTTTTATTTTTAAGGGCTATTTTTTTTGTACAAAAGTACATATTTATAGTTTTCTCATAAGAATTAAAGTAGTTATCTCATGAGGATATCTGTGTTAATACATGAAGATCAATATCAGTCTAGACCTATCTTTTTAAAGGATGGTCTCTGAAGAAATTTAAATTTGGATCATTACACTGAAAAGTGTGACCACCGAACCCCAGCCTTTCGGGTACAAAGGAACACAGCTACCTCTTGGGCCACAATTTTGCCCAGTTAGAAAGATACTTTATGTATATTTTTAAATAAAACTTATTGTAAACTTAGAAATGTACCTGTATAATAAGCTTAAAAATCTTGTTACTTCAAAAGATGACATTTGGGGGTTGGCTTGGGGGACAATAGCCTAAGTGGAAAGATTTTTTTTTTTAATTAAGTAGTGGTTCATGGTTATATCACTAGCTCCTTGTAGAGTTTGAAATTTTATAAAATCTATATTTTATCAGGCTATAAAAAATTGTAAAAAAATTAATAACAAAAAATATCCTCAACAATATTGACATAGCACAATGTTGTTTATATTAGATCCAACAAATGCCTTCCAAAACTCAGAATTTGATTTTTCATTGATTTCATATTTTTATCTTGATTTTCAAAAACCTAGATAGTATTTCTAATTACATTAAGATAGATGTTTGAAACAGATACTTTCATTCAAAAATGCATTTTCTATTTGTGTATATGTTACATACCATATACCTTCATAGTAAATTTCTACTTTACAGATTTTTTTTTATATGCAATTACATGCTACTTTGGAATCATTCATTTCTTCCAGGCTTCCTCCATAAAGCCTGATCAGTCTTGGGTGCAGTCTATAAAGAATAATATAAAACTGATTATTTCATTTATCTGCCATTGTTATTTTTCACATACCTCATGAGTGTGTTACATAAAGCACAGATTAACAACCAACAAGCAGGACTACAAGCCAGCAAGCTGAAGGACCAAAACTCCAACATTTGTGACCATTCCAGAACCTTCTCGATCACCTTTCCAGCCTGGCTAATATCTTTCTATGCCTCTGTGAAGAGGCAGTTGTGAGAACATCCCTTCTGGGGGTGCTCCATATACACTTCAGCCTGCTAAAACCCAGAGGGCTTACTGGGAGTGAGCGTGTAGGCTCCTACAACTGTTCATACCCATCATGCACTCTTGTCAATATGTACAATGTGGTTAATGCTTTGTAAAGCTCGAAAAAAAGCCCCCATTGCTTTATATGCTGTCTTGAAAAAAAAAAACAAAAAACAGGACTTGATAAAAAAAAGCAGTGTTCAACACAGTATTATGGTATTACAGCCCAGTTTGGGGGAGGGGGCTAGAAACTGTGGCACTATAAATATTATCTTTCCAAAAGGCTTAAGACTACCCTCTAAGACCAACATTGTAAATTGTAAACACATTATCAGTATAGCTTATGCAAAATAATGATTTGCAATGCCAGCACAAATGCTCATATTTGTCTTTATTGAACGGTATGCGTGTCTTTTTACAGTTTGCTAACTTACTGGATTTTAATCTTCTATACGGGCAGTTAAGAGGAAGAACCTCATATTCTGTTAGTCGCGTTATGTCTGCTATTCTGCACAGCGAGTGTGAAATAGTGGGCTTACCTAATGTGGACCTCGGATGCAGCTTCCATTAAGTCACCATCTACATTCCAAGGAAATCCGCTTTCTGGAACAGTTGCAGGATCCCCACCCTCCTCCTGCTGGTTGTATCCATTGCTTTTACCCCTGGGATGGATTTTTACTTCTTCAATGGTGTAAGTCTCCACAAAGGGAAAGTTGAACTAAATAGAACAAATGCAAATAACAGTGATGCCTTGTTTCCCCTTTATTACAAGTAAGTTTCACCATCATACTGACATTTTTTATTATTTTGAAACTCTGACAAGTTAGCCCAGGTTTTCTGGGGAGGGGGGGGAAATGCCTCTTTCCAGAAGCTTTCCAGGTCCAATCAACTCTACTGTATGACAGACAGTTCATACTTGTGAAGAATTTCCAACAATAACAATGCTATAATTTCCATTTAACGATAGACTTTTCAATTGATCCCACTGACTTCATTGTTACCTTTAGCTAATGTGAAACAAACTTGAGCATTAACTTTCACACTTGGAATTTAATTCAAAAGAACCTGAAATTCAAAAGAGCCTAAATCCAAACTTATAGACAGTACATAAGAGAAAGGAAAAAGGCAATCAAATACGATTTCCCAGGTCTTCACCTGCTGTTTTAACAAATGGACACAAAGGACAAAATAGTTGTTATTAACCATTCTAGAATGTCACTGGGTGATGTCCAAGTTGCATTTTTTTTCTTTACCAAAGTAAATTATTGGGGGTTGAGGAAACATTGAATCCTCAATTATATCTGTATAGAACCTTCTTCCAAGTAGGATGAGGTGCAAAGATAAGAAGGGTTAGGACGTGAATATCTGGGGTAGGGAATAGACGAGATTTAGTCCCTCACAGCTGTTCTCGGTTAACTCACAGAAATGCATCGCCAATGAAATGGGTGGTCATGCAGTCGCTTCTGTAAGGATGGGGCAGGCACTGAGAGCTTTATACCCAGTGTGGGAAATCTAATGTAGTCAGGACTCAAATAGCCTCACTGAGATCCAGGCTGGTCAGAGTTGTTGGGAGCTGAGGTGACCATGGATTCCACTATGTAACTCAATTTATTGTACAGTTTAAGCTACAATATCTCCTGGGCCTTTGTTCTTTGTATGTAAACTAAGGGTTTGGGGGGAAAGACTGGTCCTTAGTTTGTTTTAAACAACTTACAGAACTTTGTGCTTCCTTGAGGTTTATATGCAGAAAGGGGAGGGGAGACTATGTTTATTAAGGGATAATTCCCAAGCCGTTGTTCTAAAAATTTGAAATGATTACAGATTAGTATCTGTATTCCTAATAAAATTATTTGGCTATCTTAATTACTTTGAAGAACTCAATTGCAAAAAGGTTCAACATAAATTGTGTCCCCCACCCAAGAATTCATATGCTGAAGTCCTAATGTTGAGTGTCTTTTCAGAACACAACTGTTTTTGAAAATATGGTTTCACACAACTACATTAAACATAGATCTACCCCAACATGACTTGTATCCTTGTGAGTGGTGGAAGTTTGAATTAATTGAAAAATTCAAGGGCTTCGTGTGTCCCAAGGGACAGCTACATGAAAATACAGTTAGAGAAGAACCATGCTCCCAAGAGACAGTGGCCTCATGAAAAAGTAAACCAGCGGATAGCTTCCTCAAGTTTTAGCACTGAAAGGGTGAGAAAATGGGTTATCAACGCCCATGTAGTACATACTGAGGAAATGGGATGCTGTCCTTGGTAAAGAGTTAAGAGAAGGAGAAATCCGGTATTTTAGGTATTTTAGGAAAGCTCAACAAAAATTGAAAAAAAAAAATCAAAGGACAAAGAAACTGAAGCTATAGAAGTGAAAAGAAGGAGGTCTGAATTCAGAAGAGGGAGGAATATAAAAATGAGAACTAACAGATGCAGTTGAGGTAACGTTGTGAAGAGATGGGGCAGGGGTTTCAGAGAGACTGCAGTGTGTGGAGAGTACAGAAGGGGAAAAGTCAAGGTCAGCCACGGGTCTGTTGGACTGGGAGGCCTGGTGGGGGGGGGGTGCACATACAAACCTTCCAGCCCAGGGGAAGCCCAGGCGTCCTACAGATCTGACAACCATTGAAGAGTGTGTGCTTACACAGCAAGCAATTGAAATAATGGGAACAAAGAGAATACCCAGGAGACAGAATCCATAGAAGGTAGAGTTCTTTTAAAAGTTTTAAAGTCACTTGCCAAAGGTGGCCACAGAGAACAAGAAATATGGGGAGAGAGAAGACCCAGCAAGAGGGTGCATTTGAAAAAACCCTGAAGGGTAGTTTTATCCTCCATTTCATTGAGTTGGGAGTCACTATAAAAATAGCGAGGTGATCTTCAATGTGTTCTACAACTGTTCACAAATATTGACATTCCGGCCATGAAAATGTGGCTCAGAGAAAGAAATGCGAAAACAATTTGCAATTTGTTTCCTTCCCACATACTAGCACTGCTGCGGATTCATCATCACACAGCAGAGAATCCTACTGTAAATAACATATATATAGTCTTTCTTACATGGTAAAGTTTTTAACAATGCATGACATACTACCATATTTCCATATTTGCTTATAATTTACAGAAATTATTATGTGAATTACATATGATTATAAATACCAGATAAATGTAATTCTTTATTGTAGTGTGAAATTATGAGTCAAACATGGGGGACCTGGAGGGCTGGAGAGGTGGCTCAGCTGTTAAGGGTACTTGCTGCCCTTCCAGAGGACCCAAGTCTGGTTCCCAGTACAAAGGTCAGACAGCTCCCAACCACCTGACTCTAACACAAGCCCTCTGGTGGCTTCCAAAGGCAGAAACAGACACAACAGACACAGTCTCTCTCTCTCTCTCTCTCTCTCTCTCTCTCTCTCTCTCTCTCTCTCTCT